TCGCATCATATCCTTCAAAATGTACAATTAATATTGTAGAAAATGAAGTGTGAAACAGGAATTTTGTTTGTTTTCATACTATAGTTTTGCTAAGGAATATAATTTACCTTGACCCTTCTCGTTCACTATGCTCACTCACTCGTGCTTTGGGCAGTCCCCCCCCCCCCCCCCCCGATAAAATTCAAACGTGGTTTATTTCTAATTCGATACCAGTTCCTAATTTACAAGTGTTACTGATTTTAATGATTTTCCCCAAGCTTCCGGGGGCTCTGCCCCCTGTACCCCACTAAGGGCCCTAAGGCTTGTCCCTGGTTACTCAGCTGACCATAATTAAATTCCTAAAACACCTGAGCTTCCGGGGCTCAGCCCCCTGGACCCCACCAGGGCCCTAAGCGGGCCTCTGGATGGTCATCTGACCATATTCAAAAGCCTAAAACCCTGAGCTTACGGGGGCTCCGCCCCTAAACCCTACCAAGGGCCCTATAAGGCGGCCCCTGGATGCTCATCTGATCGTAGTTAAATACCTAAAACCGCTGAGCTTCTGGGGGCTTCGCCCCCTGGACCCCAGTACGATTAGTGACCTGCATGCAAGTGTCACAAATAAGGTATCAAAATATGCTCATCTGACCCTTATTAAATGCCTAAAAGCTCTGAGCTTCATGGGGCTCCGCCCCTTGACCCCCGCCGGGGCTTTGCCCCTGGACCCCACGCCAAAGTTACACCCAACTTAATTGCTTTGCTCTATCTGATCGCAAATACTTTACCACCCCCCCCCCTCCAACTTTGAAAAACGGTTCCGCGGGGCCTGCATGTAACATGTAAGAGCGATGATGATGCGGATTTTTTTCTCCCCTCCCTCCAAAAAAACGTTTTGGCTCATTACGTCACTCCTCCCTCGTTCCTCGCATATCGTCCCCCCCGGTCATGAAAAGAAATCGCCGCCCCTGCTCTTAGGGTAAGTTATCCGGGGGTAGTTGTCTTAGAGGGTAGTTGTCGTAGGGGGTAGTTGTATATGGGTGGTTGTCCTAGGGGGTATTCGTCCGTGGGTTGTCGATCCCGAAGGGTGGTTGTCCAGCTTGTCCTAATGGTGGTTATCCGGAGGGTGGTGGTCCAGGGGGTAGGTGTCCTAGAACCATGTATAACCTAGGCATAAAATCAATTTAATCTTCTCTTTTTCGTCTTCGACCTTGGTCATTACAAAGCGGGGGGGGGGTCGTTTGTCTGGCCCCAATTTATGGCCCAATCTTATGCTGGATACGCCATGTATGCAAATCGACATGTGAATTGCCGACGTGTATGCTGACTTCATTGCCACCTCCGTCCCAGTTTATTACGGAATAGGGACTTTTAGATTTGCCGAACAACAACGTGGATTAATTGCTACGATCAAATGCACTGCCTGAAATGGACGTCACACGTATCATCAGTCCACGCAAATCTGAAAGTCCCTATTGTCTTCAGCCGACACACGAAATGGATTATAAGCATGATTAGGATTATGAGGTGGATCATAGCTGCAAAGCTAGCCTGCAATTACACAGAGGGCACAGCAGGTTCTAGGTTGACGAGTATGTTCGGGGGGAGTTCCTGCACAATTTTTAGGTGGACGACCTTTGTAATATGCTTGTGCTCTAGAAAAGGAGGGATCACAGAAGGGGAAATGGGGCACATGAACTCTACCACCCACATAATCTTCTTGATTCAGACTGAAATTCTCGGCTATCATCTGGATTCAGATCTCATGTTATGTATCACTTGACAGATAGCCTGTATCATTTCTGAACACCATGTTTTGGTCACACAATGTTAAAATACCTACGATATGAAAAACTATATCGTTGTGTTTAAGAAGAACCATCAAAATAAAAGATAGACAACATAGCAATATCTTTTATATTCTAGTATTACACATTGAAAATTATGAAAAGGATAGAACATCAGTGTAAAGGAGGGAAAACCACGCCAAGCCGATACATGCTCCTTACTCCATTTGGTTGTACAAACGAACGGAGTATGGAACATAATGAGCCCAATAAATCCGCTTTGTCCGAAATTTGATTGAGCACATTTTCCTTCCTGACCGTAATAATTCATGTAAGTAATTTAGATAGTAATTCTTATTTGCAATGATCACATTTTTTGCTCGAAATTGTTATGCAAATCATCCCCAAACCTATTGAATGAGATATCATCTTGTAGGAAAATATTATTGATCGTCTTTCATTATGACAGCTTACACATGGTAAAATGAGGTACTGTTAAAATGTGATGTCAATAATTGTACAACAATAGTTATAAATGGCGGCCATTTCTTTTCCAGCAGCATAAATTGTTGCAAATGTCGTCCCAGTGGCGGATCCAGGGGGCGGCCCTGGGAAAAACAGGTAAAAACACGTTAATGTTACCTGATATTTGAAGACGGGCACCCTCCCCTGGTACTCAAGGGGGGGGGTGCATTTTTAAATTTCGAGGGAAAAAAATTTAGTGCTCACTACCCCCACCCCCCCCCCCCCCCCCGCTTATTCACCGACTGGCTGATTCGCCGCTCAATATTTTCTCACGATTTGGGCCCCCTCTTTGGCCCCCTCCTCTGCCACCGGCCCTCCCGATTTTTAAAAAGTGGTGCCTCTGGTATTTGGTTTCAAAGATAATTCAATTCATCATTTTCTTTTCTAAAGACATTTTAAAATGTATTTCCTTTGTATTATTTGTCACTTTTTTAGAATCTAAAAGTGCATTTGTTTGAATTTGCCTATTATTTATTATTTTATTTCCTTATCATCGTCTTTTACTTTTATGTTAGTGCTTTCACGTAATTTCATCTTTGACATTAGTGCGCCTTGAGCAATTTATTTCAAGTGGATATTGGTGCCATATCAAAATGTATAAACCTTTATTCAGGTCATGTATTTCAAGTCACAGGTGTATACATATTAGGGACTTTTAGATTTGCGTGGACTGATACTTGTAACGTCCATTCAAGGCAGTGCATTAAAAGGACGTCGATCGTAGCATAGACCTATTGTCTTCGTGCGAATCTAAAAGTCCCTATTATGTGGCGAAGAGCGACCGGGAATGGGGACACAAATGCAATCAAAAGGTCAGACAAGGAAAAGGAAATGATAGAAAATGTTATCACATGCATTTTCCCTGCGTAATTATGTCTCAAAATGGAAAAAGAAATAAGGAAGCGTTTTAGTTTCATGAATGACAGACATGTCGTTCGGTAACATTTTCTAACAATCAGCTCCCCTAAAAAAAATTATTTTAAAAAAAATCCCATTTTGTATAATGTATTGAAAATTTGTCCTTTATTTTTCCTTTTTCATGTTCAATTTTTTTTTAGTTCTCTACAGCCTTACATATTTTTTTTGCTAGTTGGAAACTTTCCATTGTTACGATTACTGTAGATCATATATTTGACCAAAATCATGATTTAACATTGTATTATTTTTCATATTTTTCTCTGAAACCAAGCAACACAGCAATCCATTGCATATTAAGAAACTGAAACAATTTTAAACTGTTTCCCACCTCAATCCATATTCTGGACACTTCAGAACATTCATAGAAGATATGACGTTGGTTTTTACATCTTTTCTACAATAGGAACATAAATTTTACTGTATTAATCCAAAAAGGTTAAATTTATCATTACAAAGTATGATGTTATGTAAAAGTTTGTACTGAAATTCCCTTAACTTCCCATCCGAAAGTGGAAAATCTGGGGATTGAGAAACATGTTGTAGTTCGGCCGACTTATCTAGATGTAAAGCTCTTACCTCTGGATGTTTATAAGCAAATGATCTTATATTGTAGCAATAAACATGTTATAGAGCATTTTGGAAGACACAGACTCAGAAGAATACACTGTTGTGTTAATGCTAATGTTAATGTTGCAAAGATCAATAATGTCATTCAGAGTATCATCCAACCCCATTTCAAAATATCGCATGCTGCCATCTACGGCTATATTTCGTAGTTTTAGTAAAATATCAGAAGTTATATGTACAGCATAACGTCGGTTATCAACGAAAATTATCCCTAAAAAAGGCATTCTGTACCAAGCACTTGAAAACGAAAATGTATGCATTAAAAATAGTGTTAATGGTATTTTGTAAAAAAAAAATGGTATGTGCTAATTTGTAGCAAGAAAGACAAATACTCTTGACGTAGTGCCAGTGCCCAATGTAATTGGAAAAAAAATAAAACGAAGAGCGATTAATAACCCAAAGTTTTAGTAATATTATGACTCATGGTAGGGATGGTAGGGATCGTTTAACCATTAGGTTCATGGTTTAACAATGTTAAATCTGAGATGCACGGCCCTATACGTGTTATCAGTGTCTGTGATATGGTGTAATATTGAAGCCCTAAAAAATATGCGCTTCAAACTGATGAAGAAGTGCCTCAAAAAAGTAAAAACCTTTGAGTGACCGGTTTTACCATACTCGTTTTCCCCAATAGACTGTAGTGTTATGAAAACCGTTTGGCAAACGCAAAATTCTGTTTCGATTTTCAATCATAAATATCTTAATAATCGGACAGGCGATCGGCTTGTAAAGGTCATGGGATACCTTGTAAAGGTCATGGGATACCTGACTGACCTAAAGGCTATCATTGCTGCATGAGCTAAATCAAGGATTTTTTAAAGGATCTAAGACAAAGTTACCGGATCCAAAGTAGTATATTTAGGATAATTAAAATTATGGATACTATATGTAAAGGAAAGAATATGTTGGCTCATTCCTCAACCTCTTTTCTGACTACCTGAGGGTACGTTCCCAAACAATAACTTTTCAGATAAAACTATCAGAATATAGCGAATTATGTTTACATAATACAGAATTTCCATTACCATCCGAAGAAAATTAAGTTTAGATTTGTCCATTCTCCTTTAGTTGTATCCACCCATAGAGATATATTAATTAAAAACAAATATCACGCTCTATGAATCCACCTCACAGTTTGGAATTCGCTTTTTTCCTTTACGGGTACTCAAAATTTTAGAGATACCGTAATAGTAATGGACGCTGCGACACACAGACCACAGAGCAGCGACACGTAAGTTGCAAAAAAAATGATATAGATCTAGACTAGATTTAGATAGATTCTATGTGTTTTTCATTTAATAGTGATGATTATGGAGATGTATTACATTTAATGTGTGTTTGTTTGACTCGAAAAATAAATTTACGAAATGACGGGGATAACATTTTAACGAGATATTTGAATTAACGTTGTAGACTCTGAGGGGTATGGCGAAGTTGCGAGTCTGCCGAGCTAGTGCAGTGCATGACTGCAGCTGCAGGAGCTGCTACTGGCTGCATGCATTGCATTGGCATTGCAATGAATGACAACAATGACAGTGACATACATTCTTCTAGTTAGTACTAGACAGAAATAACCGTCTGGTATGGGTCATTCTTTAATAAAACTGACATAGATCTATGTCAACATTTCCCATACACAGAAGGTAACCTGTATTGCTCGCACACAGGGGGAGATTGAGCCGATTTTGGACCATTTTTGGTACAAAGACTTTCGGTGCTGGACACACTTTACTTTCGTATCCAATTTTTACCCTTAACTCCGGCGTGGAGATACCATACTAAAATGTACAAAAAATCAACTTAATCTTAATCAATTGTTCAAATAATGGTCATGATATAAAGTTGTTATATTTCTTATCCCTTTCGTGTCAATTTTCTTATCTTTTTTGGAGTATTTTTCCTAAAAATGAAGACATTATAATGTTCACTTTCTCACAGGTTTTATGGCAAACCACTACACAATAACAATACAATTGCATACCCTACCGGCTAAGGGGTGCAGGCGCGCGAGCGTGAAGTTATCAACTTTAATAATCGACTTCAGGCACGTTTGCGTCTGTACGGTAGGCCTACACAGTAAACATGTGCATACTAGGAGCGGCGGTGATCAAAACAACTTCGGCTCAAACTCAATCAATTCAAAAAGTTAAGATTTAAATTATAAGAATAACAGACAAATTTAATAATGTAAATAATGAAATAAATATACATTATAGTATTTTAATCTATTCATTCAGGAAAATTAGGAACTTTGTTATTTACCCTATTAAAAATAAACATTTACAAAAACGGTAATCGATCGAACCTGGGCTGCTATCTCTGTCTATTATTATGCATACATCGGCAGTTTTCATGAACCGTAGCATTAGGCAACAACTGTCTTGGCAAATCTTTAAAAAATATAATTTATTGTCAAATTGAAAACATGATTCTTGTAAAATTGCAAATAAAACATGATTAAAGACGGAAATATGAATGTACATGTAACTACATGTACTACTTTTCTTCAGTACTACTTTTCTCCTTGGCCCAGGAAGTGCCAACCACCTTAGCTATATCGCTGCTTGCTATTATATTACCGAACCCCAAACCGAACCAAGTTCAGGTAAAAACTTTCCGAACTCTGCCGAACCAAACCGAACCCGAACATGGCGCCTGACTTACAGCACTAGTTCTGTCCCTTTTAGTGTGGAATCTTCCATTTGCTTTAGGAATGGTGAATTCCATGTAGTAATTTTGAATGCATTAGTTAATATTCGCCACAGCTCTTTATTTTTCTCTTTTTATTTTTAAATAATCTTGTTTTCAGAGGTACATTTGTAATTGTCACTCTATATTGCACTTCGTTCTTCATTTTTTACGGTTTGTGCAGTGGTTATGAACTGTATGTAAGAGTGAGGTTAGTTGGAATGTAAGTCATTTATCATGATTGATATCATTAAATGTTACCATTGATTGTTGTGAATGAAACATGATCATTCACTTTTTAAATTGTGTAAGAGAGGCACTTAAGTTTTTTTTAAACAGTTTTAGTCATTTTCCCCACACTTCAGAATTTGGTATTATCTACATGATAATGATGATACACTGTACTTTTAAAAGATCAGGCCTTAAATTAATCGACGGCCATCGACGGCCAGGCCGTCGATGCCCCTATGACTGGCCGCGGTGCCCTCCCAAAAAAAGATATATTCACGGCCAAAAAGGCCGTGCCCTTTTTTTCAAACTGGCCGACGTGCCTTTTTTTCCAACTGGACGTGCCCTTTTTATTTTAAATTTGCGCACATAAAACCACCAATTGCGCCCATAATCATCTAAAACTAGACGGCAAGGCGCAAGTGTTTTCCGTGAAAATGCGCCCATAAATTATTAGAACAGTAAAAATACACGAATCACGAACAGTTTGCCGCCCACGAGCTCTCTTCTAGCTTCGTATTTAGTGCTTTAATAAGGCGCAAGTGCCGTGAAAATGCGCCCTTTGTTATTATATAGGCAATGCGCTAGCGCACGTACGTACGTACGTTCATATTATGCGATCGCATGATATGCATATGGTGCGTGCTGTTGACGCACGCACGTACGTACAAATCGAAGGCCAGGATCAAGAAAACAAATCGTCAAATGGAGAAATATACAAGCATTCAAATAGTCATTAGAGATCTGTCGAGGTTTGTTTGTAGGCCTAGTTTATTATTTTATCTCAAATAGAATTTAGAATTATCTTATTAATAAGTTAAGAACACCTACGATGTTCTCGATCGTAGTTACTCTCATTTTGCCACCAGCCTTCAAAAAAGCTACCCCGCCAGCTTCCCAAGACGAACGTTTCGAGTCCCGGTAAAATTCCGAGGGTGCATCGGTTTCGCTGGCAAACTTCCAGCCCGACAGCTTCCCACCAAAAGTGGCGAGAGTGTGTGTGCGAGGAACGATTTTTGGTTTCGTGAATGCACGTTACGCAACTGAGCTGAGCGTGTCACTTTCAGCTGTCGAATGTCTATAAGGACATTTTTACATCTTATTTCATTAGTTAGGCCTATATGTAGACCTTTCTATACAACAGTTAAAAAGATAATTTCTTCAAATTTGCTCCTACTACCGAGAGAGTGGCGGAAGGTTTGTGTGTGAGGTGCGATTTTGATTTGGAATACCCGGCCCGGTAAACTTGCCAATTAAGTCCTTCTGACTTTCGATGTTTGTGAAATTGACAATTTATTTATTCATTTGCTCATCAATATTTTTAGTTACTTTAAAATACTGTTTAATGTGCAAGTTTGATGTTCTTAATCAATCTTTCCTGTTCATATTGTTAAGATTAAAAAGTTATTAAATTGATCGTTCGATCTATTCACATTATGAAATTAACATTTGTAGACTCTCTTTGAACTTATGATTAGATAAGCGGCCTATCTGTTTTTGGAAAATTGCCCCTTGCTCTGGTAAATTCCCGTGGCAAAGGGCAACTTAAAAAAAAAATTGCCCCTTGCTCCTGGCTGCTAAATCTAAGGCTTGCGGGCCGCCGCCTTGTTTGCAGGCGCGTAGCCAGAGTTTGGTGTTTGGGGGGGCACATGTAATCGATCGAGGTCAAAAAAAGGGGTCTACAAAATTTCAACCGATCCTGGAAATTTTAGGGGGGGCACGTGCCCCCCGTGCCCCCCCCCCCCCCCCCCCCCCCCCCCGTGGCTATGCGCCTGCTTGTTTGTATGTACCGTAGACCTGTATACATTCTGTGAAGAAGCTGGTGCTAAAAGTTATGGGAAATTGATCCTGCACAAGTTTCATAAAATACACATGACATCTAACAAAAATAGAATCAATTTTTTTGGCCTCATACTCGATGCCCTTTTTGTAAAATATTTTGGCCTCGATGCCCTTTTTGTAAAAATATTTTGGCCTTGGTGCCCTTAAAAATATGAGGTACTCGAGGCCAAACTGGCCTTGCCCTAAAAATGACGAAATTTAAGGCCTGAAAGATATTTATAGAAAATTAGAGAAGCTGGTCATTGAATGTTTGAGAAAAATGATTAATTTAGACATAAAAATGAGAAAGTTGAAAAGTTGAAATTGGGAAAATCATCAGCAATGCAGCCATTATGTGTGATTGGATAAAGAACTCTAAATTCCCTTTATCTATCTTCATGATATAAAGGGGAAGTATTGTGTCCCGTGGAGAAAAAAAAAGGTCTACCGGTATACCATTATACATATTGATGAATGTTATACAGTACTTTGAATAGTATGGGTATGACAAATAAGCAAATTTCTTATGTGCTTCTTCAATTATTTCTGCTGCCACCCAGGATCATACCGTAAATCTCTGTGTATAAGGCGCACCCCTATTTTGGGGGCAAAAAAAAAAAAAAAAAAAATGTTTTTTGTTTTTTGTTGTTGTTTTTTTGTTGCCGAAAACCCACGCGGGGAAGGACCTTCATTTTACATCGAGGTGCAGTTGAAGTTGTGAACTTGTCACAAATAATAGTAACAATGTCGTTGTAGAAGAATGTGTAAGATCATTAATGTGAATGCTTCATGATACCAAGTGTACCACACCAGCCTCATCACATCACCTAGCAGAAGCACTATGTTCTATGCCAAACATCAATAGTCATGCATGATATGAATAGAAAAAAAATTGAGGAATTATTATTATAAACTACATATTGAGATCTATTAGAAAGATTACTTTCAAACCAAGATGACAGACAAATTTGAGTGTTGTTGTAGTTTCCGAGTGGTGAGTCAACACACTGATTAATGAGCTGGGAGACATTGCCAGGCATAGCACCATAAATCGAAACTAAAAAAAAAAATTAAAAAAAAAAAAAAAATTCTGTACCTGTGTATAAGGCGCACCCCCGACTTTCAAACTTTTTTCGGCGGCAAAAAAGTGCGCCTTATACACGGAGATTTACCGTATTTATCGCATCATCGAATAACGCAGTCTAGAAGGACAATGAAATTATTAAATAAAAAATTTTCTCCATTGTTGTTTCTTTCCATGTCAGATGAAAAACGTAGCTGAACCACATCTTTCTGTCCTGATTCAAGTTTCTATGGAATTATGTAGTGTACTATAGATGATAAACGATGGAAGACTCGTGACATCACATTCACAGAGACAATGCTATCGTGGATGAAACTAAAGTGATGGGGCTCGAAATAGCCTAAATGAATGGAATGGATGAACAATCGATATTTGACATCCTCGAGTGCTCTGTATGCCTGGAGCGGTTAGATGCGACCAGTCGCGTCTTGCCGTGTCAGCACACCTTCTGCCAGCGATGTCTTCAGCAGATCCTCAATACCCGGGGCGAGCTGCGCTGCCCAGAGTGCCGGGACCTTGCCCCGCATCAGAAGGTAACAGACCTGCCCACCAACATTCTCCTTGTGAGGCTGTTGGATGGCATGAAGCGGCCGGCTCCACCGTCGCCCAAGACTGGAGCTTCGACGACGGGCAGTTCTGGAGGAAGCGTGGGAAAGAGCAACGGACAGGCTGAGTCTACTTCCGCCAGTAGGAGTGGTGTTTCCAAGGTAATTGACTTATATTCATTATGTTGCCTGTGAATGCATTGTTTGATTTTTCCACCGTTTCCATCTGACTTATTTGTAATGTTTACATAGTAATTGCAAAATATAAGAGGACAAATATTTGCCAAACTGCATAAAGATTGAGTCCATTGTGTGCATGAGCCTTGAAGTAGAGAATATAAATGACCAAATCAAGCATGTTACAAAATAAACACTGAATAAAAAGAGAGAAAAGATCTGAAAAAGGTATTGTTTGTACTTGAAAAAGTTCCTGATGATATAAGCAAAACAGGATACATGTAGTGTACATTGTACATTGTACATGTATATCTGCCCACATGAACATGACGTTATGCGATGGAATAATGATAAAATGACATCTTGTGTACTTTTTATCAGTAGAGAATGACATCATGGTTGCTTATTGGCACATGCTCTCAGTATTTCCTCTCTCTCTCTCTCTCTCTCTCTCTCTCTCTCTCTGTATTTCCAAGTTCATGTATGTGTATCTCTCTTTTGAAATTTTAAATCAAAGAACAACTGAAGATATTATCCTTGTTGTTTATTATATATGTACATGTACGGTAGGCTAAATAAATCGATTGTTAGTAATACATGTGTATGTAGTATCCCTGTCCATTTCCCCTTTTCCACCCCCCTACCCCCTTAGGCCATGTAAAAAATATACATTGACTTTTTTTTTTAAAGAAAAAAAACATGAAAAACACTGCTAAAATGGATCTATTTCTGATTTAAAAAAAAAAAAAAATTGGCGGCCATCTTGAAAAATAGCCTGACTGTCTGGGAAAATGTACCGAGCGGCCATTTTGAAAAAAAACAAAAAAAAGGGCCTCCTCCTTCCTATTTGTCGAAAAAACCGGACGCTAAACAAGTTTTTTTTAAATTTGGCCTTACTTCTTTTTGAAAACTATTTGATGTGTATTGTTTTGCTTTGTTTTTACACAAATTTAAAGAAGACACTGATGAAATATAGTTCACAATTAATTCACAAATAATTCCAGCTTGATTTAAACCTTTGAACAAATGAAACTTAATTGAGAAAACTTGTAAAGAAATGAATTGACAGACCCCTTAATAGCGTACTGTGTGTGTGATAAAAAGTATCAAATAATACAGAAGGCTACTCCTTTATGAGAAAATCTGGATGAGATATTAGGGCTCAATTTTACATAATATGATCATAAAGATCGATGTGCATGGCGTGGAAAAAATCTTGTACATAAATGCCCAACTCAAATATTTTTAACTTTCCTCATTCATCGTGCCTTAAGAGGGCTCTAGTCTGCTGGCTGTAGGTAAATGTACAACCACGCCCACGTGTACAGTCTGACTTTTAAACTGCATTATGATGCAAATCAGACATACAGAAATGTCAAATCTTTTCACACATTTCTACCATTAGCCATTGCTTGTTGCAATACCTAAAGGAATTCATTGAGTCAGACAGACAGGCAGAACCCGCTGTATGGTGCAGCGAGCTAACATTTCTTTGTGCTGTGACCCAAGTAAAGCTTTCTCAATCAAATTGCCACGGGATTAGTGGAAATTTAAGCCAAGTCAAGTCAAAATAGCGTAGAGAAAGGACCCCTAAACTTTCTTTCGTTTTCAATATTGTGGTGGGACAACAACTGGGGGGCATTGATTTGTGTGGGTCCTTTGGGATAAATAGTCTCATTTTGGATGTATGCATGAGGAGTATTGTGTAGGTCTGTTGTGTAGACTGATTGTGTTGTCTGATTCAGTGATTATGAATAGGTATGGATAGGTCTGGCAGTCTATACTACAGTTAGCTTTCAGTATTATTGTCTCCCTTCCAGACTCTATGGAGGATCATTTTACTAAGTCTACCCAAAATAGGACAGAAAATGCATATAATTAAAAAGTAATCAATCAAACACAAAATGGCAACATTATGGTGTATCCTGCAAAGTCCTCTTCCATTTGCTCTGTACTAAAAAACAAAATCAGAAATTTATATTTCCCCTGAATATGTTTCTGAACATGTTTCTGAACATACTTGCACCCTAAATATAGTTATTGCAAATATGTTTTTCTACAACCCCTGTAAAGACAAAGTCATTAATAACTAAGAAAATGAAAGTTTATGACATTTTCTGTACAGAGCATATTGGAGAGGACCTCGCAAGATACAACACAGTATTGGCAATTTGTGTTTTCCTGATGACAACTTCAAAAATTCATAACTTCACAATGTTTAATCGGACAAATGTTTAATCAGCTCAAACTTTCAATACTGTAATTCATATCTCTTGGTTTTCTGCTTTTATTAATTCCAGCTAATTATCACGATGGACTTCCCCTTTAAACGTTTGAGAAAACTTATTTAAAACTTTTGTGCACAACGATATCACCTGCATATTGCCACATCCTCTATAAATCGTCCTGGCTCAAAATCTAAATTCTACTCTCCCAAAATTATAATTTGTGTTTTGATCACCCCTGCATTACAATGGAAACTAGAAAGGAGGTCAGTTGAATACATAGGCTTGCTTAGAAACAACTGGACAGTAGGAGGTGCATGTACAATGCTGGGTATTGTTGGGATAGGTTTGGAAATCTAATCCTCCTTGCACTGCAGGATGACAGGGGCCAGCTAAATTAAGATTCAGTTCGTGCCTGCGTGGCTTGAGGAGAGAGCCCTGTATACTGTTACAGAGTTTTGTGGCCAGACCAGAGAAACCAATATGTTTTTCATCATGTCTGGCTCTCGATTTGGAATAAAGAGGCTGAAAGTTCATTCGACATCAATTAATAGTTAGTAATATAAGGATTGGTTTTCGTGGAATTAAGTGGAATTATATTTGAAAGAGTCCTAGAAGGAGATTTGGATTATTACAGATCATTTTTGTCTCGCCTGCGTAGCAAAAAGCGAGACATAGGCGCCGCTTTTACGGTGACGGCGGCGTCAACATCAAAAAATTAACCTAAGGTTAAGTTTTTGAATTTTAGATATAATTTTTAAAGTATAAGTTCTTAGTCGATGAAACTTTGACTATAGGGTAATCAAATATCCCCAATCATGTGAGTAGAATTTCAGATCACAAAGTCAAGGTCAAAGGTCATTTCAGGTCAACAGAGACTTGGACTATGTTGTAGCATCATCGAAAAACTTAACCTAAGGTTAAGTTTTTGAATTTTTGATATAATTTTGAAAGTATAAGTTCTTAGTCAATGAGACTATCAACATTTTCACACACAGCTAAAATTCTATAAACATGATTAGTATAAACGTGTTTAAACTAATCACCTTAACATACGACATCATTCACACACAGAAATTTCGGTGCGATCGTTAATCGTTTCGTGATTAACTACTGCTCGTAAAATGCGCAGTAGTGCCATTGCGCATTGAAGGTCATGTCGTATCAATCAAAGCACACGCTCCATCCAGTTTAAACACGTCTGAAACACGTTTAAACATGAATAACCTTTCACACACAAAATGTCAAGCTCTCTAGATACGAACTTCGTATCTGCAGCCTGCTTTTAGGGGCGTATGAATTGCGACTTCGTATCTATCCCAACATCGTATAAACGAAATTTAAACTGGGAAAATTTTCTATAAACATGTTTAAAACTGTTGAGTTAAACACGTTTATACTAATCATCTCTGGATACGATGAAATTTAGCTGTGTGTGAAAAGGCTGTTGGACTACAGTGTTATCAAGTCTCTCCAATCATGTGAGTAGAATTTCAGGTCACTAAGTTAAGGTCAAAGGTCATTTAAGGTCAACAAACTTAGACTTTGTTGTGGCATCAACATCAAGATTTTCAAAATGCTTCTTCTTCGTTATTTTTCAACCGATTTTGATTCTGATTGTTTCATATGATAGAGCTAGGAGGGGGATTTAAAATTTCTACACAGAATCGTGAAATTCATTATCTATGCTAATTTATGCAAATTTATTCGAAATCACAAAAAAGGCTTCTTCTCCTTAATTTCTCGATCGATTTTGATTTGGTTTGCTTTATATCGTAGAGCTAACTTTGGTACACTAAACTTCTACACAGAATTATGAGATTTTGCTCCATTGATTATTTATGGTAATTTATGCAAATGAAATGAAATTATGTCCTTTCCAGGGCATCAAATTTTTATTTTTTGACCAGTTCAAAAGTGTACCACATAAAATTTACGATATTTGTTGTTGCGAGATGCGGATGAGCGCTACGTCATTGACGTTCTGATTTATCATATTGAATTGCCTAATGCAGGCGAGACCGCCGAGAGCGTTTCCCTTGTTTTAAATTAAGTTTAATCAAAGGTTTCAGTGTATTTGTACAGTAAGGCAAATTTCAAAAATGAAGTAAATTTACATCTCCCTGTAAAGCTTACTGTAAGTTAAGATTATTTGTTTTAAATCTTGATTCTTGAATTGAATCTTATTCATTCAACACCCATACCTGTTGCATCAGATGTAGACCTCTATATACCGGTAATAATAGTATCCAATCTCCATATTTTTTTTGCTTACAGTTGTATATTAACGGCAGTAGAAATGACAAACCTGTACATCTGTACAGTATGCAGTTTAGAAGAGACAACATCATCCTTCTGTAGTGTACATGTACATGTACATGTATGTCGTGAATGGAAAGAGATTTTTTTTTTAGTCCTCTAGTACTGTATGTACAGTATATTGTGCTGTGATGAGTAGTTCCAAAAAAAATATTCAAGCACCCTTATACAATAATGATATCAGCTCACCTGATCGAGTACACAGTAAAGTCAGTGATGGTGTCATGCATTAGTCATAGTACAAATGTACACTAACCTACACTGTTTTATTGTGCATTACATGTACACTGTACATTGTTCATGTATGTTGGCATGAAACTGAACTGTTCTATGACCCTGAATGACCTCTGTATTGAGCAGTAGCAGTTGATAACATGCAGCAAACCACTGTTTTCAATACCTGTCAAAACCACAGGTATTTACCACAATGTAAACTGCATA